AAGGAATCAGGAAACCATAAACTGAGGTAATGTGAATGTGTTATACTATATTGTATATGGGAGATCAATACACTTAACACTTCTTCTGCCTTAAAATACACTTTATTCTGTACAGTAATTCACAGGTTTATCATGCCTTTCTGGATTATATACTTTAGCCAAACACCAGTTCTTGGGCTCAATAGCGGGTATACAGGTGAAATGTAATGGGCTGTGATATACAGTATTCCGACTAGATGAGCTAGTGGTCCCTTTTGACCTTAACACTCTCTGAATCTATGCATGGTGCAATTTCAAAATGTTGTAAGTGTCAGTTACCAGGTGAACAGGACTTCTAACCCCTCCAGATCTCTCTGAGAACACCCTTCCTCAGGTCTCAAGCTGTTACCTGGCTCTGAGTAGAATCATGTGATTCTCCCACTCCAACTTATGGCCTAGTCTGTCCTCTTGTATTAACCATGTTTACCTCAGTTGGTCTGACTTGGGCTCAGCCCTTGCAGTTCTGTTCCCTCTGAGAGCAATGACAGTAAGCAGTGACCAAACAATTTCCTTAAAGCAAAGTATCATTTATTTAGCACCAAAACATTTCAGAGAAAACTATCTTAAACAATAGAAACAGAATGTACACATATGTTGCCTTTCCCCGAAGGTTTACCATTCTCTGGATCTAGGAAAGACCAACTTCTTTAGACTCCCTCCCAAAGGCTCTGTCAGCCTGTCAGTTTAGACAGCTACTGGCTTTTTAGTCCAGACTCCTCGCTTTGGCAAAACAAGGCTTGAGCAAGGAGTCAGGATTCATGAAGCAACAGCTCTCCCTAAATATATTTCAAGTTTGTGCTGGGGTGTCCTTATTTTGCTCTATTGTGTGGCTTTCCTGTTTACTCTTCCCACTGCCAGAGGTGAAAGTAAGCCGATACAGTGTACTGGCAAGAGCTGGTGCGCCGTACCAGGACCGGCTTTCCCAGATGGCAATTTAAAGCCCTGGGGTAGCGGCAGCAGGGCTCCGGTGGGAATTTAAAGGACCCTGGAACTCCAGCCACCGCTATCGCCCCGGCCCTTTAAATCCCCGCCAGAGCCCTGCTGCCGAAGCCCTGGGGTAGTGGTGGCGTGGCTCCGGAGGGAATTTAAAGGGCCGGGGCAGTAGCGGCTGCCAGAGCCTCAAGCCCTTTAAATCCCTGCCTGAGCCCTGCTGCCGAAGCCCTGGGGTAGCGGCGGTGGGGCTCTGGCAGGGATTTAAAGGGCCCCAGGGCTCCAGCCTCCGCTATGGCCCCGGGGCCCTCTAAATCGCCACCGGAGCCCCGCTACCCTAGGGCTCGGGCAGCAGGGCTCAGGCGGGGATTTAAAGGGCTCAGGGCTCCAACAGCCACTATCACAGCAGAGCCCCAGGCCCTTTAAAGCTCTGCCAGAGCCCTGGGGTAGCGGTAGCAGCCAGGAGTCCCCAGGGCTCCTCAGTGATTTAAAGGGCCCGGGGCTCCGCTGCAGTAGCGGCAGCTGGAGCCCTGGGCCCTTTAAATGGCCCCCGGGCTTACCAGCCACCTCTGCAGCTGGTAACTCAGGGGTGATTTAAAGGGCCTGGGGCTCCCAGCCACCACTATTGCAGCTGGAGCCCAGGGCCCTTTAAATCAAGATTTAAAGGGCCCAGGGATTTAAGGCCCTGCCTCTTCTGGTTGAGGCCATGCCCCCCTCACTCAGGACTCTGGTGTACCGGTAAGTCCTTTAACTTACTTTCACTGCTGCCCACAGCCATCTATTCAGTTTGATTAGTACAGTCATGCATGGAATTTTAATAACCTGCCATAGTTATGCAATAACTGTACCTCACTGCCTTACAATATTCATATGGATGATCATCAGGTGGCTGTTAATTATGCATCTCTTGGTGTGTCTCCCTAGCACACAGGCCCACTGACCCCTTTTTATTATAGGATATACTGATATACACTGAGCATTATAAACATGCAGAGAGATTGTCATGTCTTTCCCATATTTGTACTTCAACACACCACAAATTTTGGTGCCCCAATTTTCATAGGTTCTATCAATTCCTCTCTTACTCATTAACACCTGTCAATTAATCACGATAGCAGCTTGTGGTTAATATATTGCTGACATCTTATTTCAATGAAAATCCCCAGTGTATTTCAACTGGTCGTAATTGGTATCTTGCAGTTATTTTATTTCCCTAATCATCAACGCTTAACAAGGTTATATAGTGGTTAATTTGTCAACTTCTTTTATGCCAAAAGCCTTATTTGGTTAAACGAATATCTCACAGGTCTGAGGCCTGTAGGTCTTGTGTTTCAGCCCTATTTAATCTCAATATTTTATCTATATGCTACATTAATACATGCCTGTCAGTTCTACCCCCCTGTACTAGTTTCCCACTTATTTCTTACCTATTATTCCCACTATTACTAATAAATCCCCCCCCCACACACACACACCCAACTCCTAAATCACATATTACCAAATGCAAGCTAATTGGCTACAACTCATAAAATGGGGACAATACTGTCATGGTTCTGGAGTTAACTGCACCTTTGCTTCCTTTAGGGTCTCCTCAAAGATACCCGCTTAGATTTCAGGCCTCTAGCTATCACCTCTTTGTGTGTGGGAACCCTCATTCCTTTCCCTGCAGACCAGAGTTTTAGGGTTGCAGTTCCCTTGCAATTCATTGTTCTTACCCCAGCAGGTCTGACCTAAGTCCAGCACCAGCTGTTTGGATGCCTAACATGGGCCAAGACAGGGTTTACCATTGACTAGCCAGCCTCCAGAACATAGTAGATTTATTTAGGACAAAATCATTCAGAGAAAAAACCATAATATCAAAACAATAGTCTACACCCACACTAACCTTACCACATGTCACTCATAATCTGATGAGGTTCAACAAGGACAAGTGCAGAGCCCTGCACTTAGGATGGAAGAATCCAATGCACCGCTACAGACTAGGGACCAAATGGCTAGGCAGCAGTTCTGCAGAGAAGGACCTAGGGGTTACAGTGGACGAGAAGCTTGATATGAGTCAACAGTGTGCCTTTTTGCCAAGAAGGCCAATGGCATTTTGGGCTGTATAAGTAGGGGCATTGCCAGCAGATCAAGGGATGTGATCGTTCCCCTCTATTCGACACTGGTGAGGCCTCACCTGGAGTACTGTGTCCAGTTTTGGGCCCCACACTACAAGAAGGATGTGGAAAAATTGGAAAGAGTCCAACGGAGGGCAACAAAAATGATTAGGGGACTGGAACACATGAGTTATGAGGAGAGGCTGAGGGAGCTGGGGATGTTTAGTCTACGGAAGAGAAGAATGAGGGGGGATTTGATAGCTGCTTTCAACTACCTGAAAGGGTGTTCCAAGGAGGATGGCTCTAGACTGTTCTCAGTGGTAGCAGATGACTGAACAAGGAGTAATGGTCTCAAGTTGTAGTGGGGGAGATTTAGGTTGGATATTAGGAAAAACTTTTTCACTAGGAGGGTGGTGAAACACTGGAATGTGTTACCTAGGGAGGTGGTGGAATCTCCTTCCTTTAGAAGTTTTTAAGGTCAGGCTTGATAAAGCCCTGGCTCGGCTGATTTAATTGGGGATCGGTCCTGCTTTGAGCAGGGGGTTGGACTAGATGACCTCTTGAGGTCCCTTCCAACCCTGATATTCTATGATTCCATATGGTTAAAATCTCATACCCATTTGAGGGACCTGAGTCATTTCAGGATCACTCTTTACACAGATTGGGGGAGTTTGTTCTCCCAAGCCTCCTGAAACAGGTGAAACCAGACAATGCCCCTTTCCCCAGAAGGCTAAGCTTCAAAGGACTACTCACATAAGTAAGGCAAATGGGGGTATATTGCTCTTTAAATTTAAACAATTTCTTAGTGTATGAGACTGCATTAAACACCTCTAGTGGTTCCAAATTCCACAGGAAATGCATCCAGTAAAACAGAATACATAGATACATAAATACTTATTGATACAAAGGATATTTTGTGTGGCCATAGTGCTCCACATATCATACAGTATAGTAGTCTTTGAAGATTTCCATGCCTCCAAAGTTGTACATCTCTTACAGATACTACATACATCACAAAAGAAGCATGAGGCTTGATTAATGTTTATAAAATGCATTTAAATCCTCAGATGAGAAATGCTCTTAAGTGTAAAGTTAGTATTTTCCTGTATGTGTGTTTTCTCTTCCTTTTCTTTCTAAAGGTGAGTAAAATAGCATCAACTGTTTTTCTTTCAATCATCATCGCAAAGCTGGGTGAAAGATATGGGGCCTGATTCTCCACTATTTTGTACTTTGTGAAATTATTTACATCTCTGTGCAAAGTGAATATAAAACGCAATCAGATCAAAATGACAGTGTTTTACACCGACTGTGCATATCTGTAGATGACAACATAAGGTGCAAGGCAGTGTGGAGAATCTGGATGGATAGATAGAAGTAGATTCCCTGAGCTTTGTGTAGAGCCATGCATGTTTATGGTGTTATACAAATAAGAATCAAACTCTCTAATATTTGACTCCAATCCAACTCCTGTTGAAGTTTATAGGACTCCTTCCCCTGCACTTGCCAAAGGGAGCTACCTCTGCATAAGGATGACAGCTTCTAATTAGGCCTTGATTATATGTCCTCCTGTAAACCTAAACACCTCTTCACTTTGGCAGTTTGTCTTAATCCTGCAAACTGATCTGTGCAGTGGGCCCCCATGGTCAGGCCCAGCATGGCTTATATGACTACATGATCCAAACCAAACCATGACAGCTGGGGCAGCACAGGGGCTGAGACTGAGGGCAACAAGCCAGGCTGGCTGGGTTCCGTTCCCGGCTCTGCGCTGAGTCGCTGGGAGCTTGGGTAGGTACCTGCTCTGTGCCTCAGTTTCCCGGGTGTAAGAGCGGGATATTAAAGTGCCAGGGAGGGGCGGGGAAGGCGAGGGGCAAGCCTGCGGGCTGCTGGGAGTGGCTCCCTAGCACAGCCGCTGTGTGGCGCGGCCGAGGTGCTTGTGATGAATTAAGAGGCGGGCAGAGCGTTTCCCAGGTGCTAACCCGACGCCCGCAGCGAACCCAGCCCGGACGGGACGGGGGCAGCCACAGCGTGGCCGGGCACCGTGAGAGGCAGCTGATGCCCGGACCCTGAGCGCGCCGTGACCGCGGCCCCGAGCCCGCCCAGACCCCGGCACGGCAGCGGCGCTCATGGCCTCCGGGCCGGGCCAGGGAGGCGCTGCCCGTGAGCGGCGCGGGGCGGCTGGGCTCAGCGGTGCCTGGCGCCCCCAAGGAGCGGGCGAGCCGCGGCGGCGCTTCCGCAGGGCGGCCCGAGCCCTGGCGCATCTCTGCGGACTCAGCTTGTGGCGGAAAAGGTGCGTGGGCCGGGCGGCGGGGACAGGGCTCGCAGGCGCTCCCGGTCCCATCGGCCCGACCCGGCCACCACAGAGCGGGCCCCGCTCGCCCCAGAGCAGCTCAGCCAACTCCCCCCGGCGGCCGGAGCGAGGGGCGGCGGCGGCAGCTCCCCAAAGTAGGCTCAGCCCTGCCCCGCGAAGCGCAAAGGGGTGTTGGCCGTTGACGTCAGTGGGCGCAGGACTGGCCCCAGAGCGGGAAAGGGGCTGCAGGGCGAGGGCAGGAGGCGGCCAGGAGCGGCCCCGCCTGTCTCAGTCATTAGCAGCCACTGTACGCAGGCAGACGTTGCTGGCGTTTAATTAGTAATAGCCGTAGCTAGAGTCGCTGGGGTGATCTGATCGTGTCTGTCAGCATAACAAAAATCATTGCCGCTGTTGTCAGGTTCTGCCCCACCACCAATTTTAAAATCAGTTTCCCCTAAAAATCGCAGCACTCTGCTGCTGAGACATTCACCAAGATACTGAGATTTAGGAAGAGATTCTCCACTGTGACCATATCCAGGACCTCAGACTCAGGACTAAACTACTTGGCCGTGTCTTTTAAAACTTACTGCTATAGATACTCTTGAGGGCATTTCTGTGCCAAAAAAAATTAAAAATTCTGCACACAATATTTTAAAATTCTGCAAATTTTATTTGTCAAATAAATGTGGAAGCTCCACCTTGGCATTGGGGCGCACAGGCCACTGGCTGCACAGAGGTGGGACTTGGGGGATCACCGTGCAGCTCCTCCCTGGGATATGGACTCAGCGGCGAGGTTGCACCTAACCCTGACACAGCACAAGAGACAGGCTTTTGAGCTTACACAGAGCTCTTCAGGTCTAAAGAAGACCCAAAGAAAAGTTTTATGTAAGCTTGACACCTTGTCTCTTTCACCACCAAAAGTTGGCCCCATAAAAGATATTATCTCACCAACCTTGTCTCTTTAATATCCTGGGGCCAACTTCACACAACAACACTGCATACAAAACACTTAATAGGCAGCTAGCAAGCTGAGATCACTGCCTGTCATGCTGACCAATATTGTCTCGTTGTTTCCTTGTACTCCCTCTTCTTTGTCTGCATCAGTTTGTTGCTGCTTGTCTTAAATTTAGGCTGTAAGCTCTTTAGGGCAGGGAGTGTCTTTTTGTTCTTTGTTTGTACAGTGCCTAGCACAATGGAGTCCTGGTCCTTTTATTAAGGACCCCAGGCACTATGGTAATACACATAAATAAAAATAATAATGATTATTTGCTCAGTGGCAGCCAAAACTTCAAATTTGGTTATTGGAGCTGTGAGCCTTTTTGCTCAAGAAAATTAAAATGTTGTTTTACTGTTGCTGCCTAGGGTGGTCAAGGGACATTTCTCTGCATTCTGTTTGTTCTAGTTTGGATGATTGTGCCAGGGTTTCTAACTTTCATTCTCTTGGGTGCATCCGACTCTCACTTAATTTTATAGGTTGAGTTTTAATATAAGCTAAAATGTCATTTCTATCACTAATCTGGGAATGTGAGACCAAATAACTTATTTTAAATTCAAAATACTAAGATGTAAATAATATTGTGGACAGCGCCCGTCCATCTGGTTTAAAATCTCGATCTGGTCATGTAGAGTGGAATTAGTCTAATCCTTCACTAGTGCTGCCTGTTGATGTTTAGCAATAACTATGACTTTGCCCATGAATATGTTTTTCCTTGGTTCCTGCTCTTCAAGTCATTAGAGAATGTGGAGCTGGAAAGGCTGTACACTTGGGCCATTTGCTCATATATGCATAGAGTCTGGGAATGCCTTTTGGGCATATATATCCATAGGCTTGCTTTGTGCATATATATCCATAGGCTTGCTTTGATTACATTGGTTGGGGGAAACATAGCACTGCAGAAGTTGAGACAGTGAGAACAATATTTCCATCAAAGCAATACATTCTGAAGGTCAGGTGGCCTGGTCATAAAAAAACTTTGTTAAACATGCTTGTGCACTGTCTTGTGTTAATTTGTTGGTATTTAAATGTGATTTCAGAGGGAAATCACTGATGCAGGTCACCTTCCTTTTCCTACTCTCTCAGTATCTGTGTAAAGTGATTTTACCAATATGTCAATTGTATATTACAATGAATGGACAATATATTTTTTTATTACTAGGTCACAGTGTAAAGACAAAACATTGAAACAATGTGAATGCTTGATGTGGTAGCCTGATGAATCTGGCATCCATGTATAGCTTCAAGCATATAGATCTAATTTTTCTACTGGTTTTCCTCTAGAGATCCAGAAGTGTTTAAATTTGTCACCTTTTATATTTGCCTGTTCCTAAGGATAATTGGCTAGACAGGCCATATCTGTTTTTCATTCCAGCATAGCAGTTTATAGCTTTTGCAAAACCTCAGACAACAAGAGATCATCTTCCAAACTAAAACACATCACTTATAATGATGCTCAAGTCCATCATGAAATACTTGTCCCCAAATGTGTCAGTTTTGACCTCCTTAAGAATGCCCCTAACCTGGGCCAATGCAGCCCTTCACTCAGTTTTTGCAATATATTCCAAATGGATGACAGCCAAGTAATGATAATTAAAAAACAAATAAATTATTTCAGTGCTCTGGCTAGACTAACAACCCAGCATATATGGTGAAATGTTCTTTGAAGGTATTCAAGTATATTGCAACTGGTTGGAGAGTAGGGTGACTGGATGTCCCGATTTTATAGGGACAGTTCCGATATTTGGGGCTTTTTTTTAATATAGGTGTCAATTACTGCCCCCCAATTTTTCACTCTTCCTATCTGGTCACCCTAATGGGGAGCTCTCACCACACCAGCCAAAAGCAAAAACATTTTAGAAAAATTCACAGAAAATTCATGTTGGCATAAATTATACATGTAGGTATTGTAGAGTGTCTATAACTGTTCTAGGAATGTACATGTAATGTCAAACATGGGCTCTTTCTTCCTTGATCTTTTAGGGCCCTAGCAAGCTGCTTAACCTTTTAACCAAATGAATAGTCCAATCAAAATAACAGAATGTTTAAACTTAAGCAGATTCGTAAATGATCAAGGGCTTAGAATGATTTTCTTAATTTATTTAAGAAACTTTTTGAATACTCTGCTTTCTGTCTAGATATGTTGGAAAGAGTCCAGTAATACAGTGGGCAATATTTCACATGAAGAGGCAGACACGTCTTGGAAGTGATCTCTTATTCAACATCAACAATTATTCTACAACTAAGCTTGTTGGTATTTTTGATATTTGTGCTATAACTCTGCCATAATTGGTACCTGTGGTCCCAATCCTGCATTTAGATATGCCCATGGACCTGTGTGTCCATGAAGAGCCTCATTGACTTCACTGGATTCTGCACAGGTGTAAGGACCTGCCTGTGCAGATCAAATTGCAGGTTTGGTGCCTATGCATTTTTGTGGCAAAAATTCCTATTAATTTCTGCAGGACATCTGGGTATGCAAGGATCAGGTTTTATGCAATTATTAATCTAGTTCTAATGAGGGATTGTTAAGCTTTTTTCCTGTGTATCTTTTGTCTAACAAAAATTAGATATTTGTTCCTGTATAATCTTAAAATGTATCTGAGTATACTAAAACTTCTCATTTAAGATAACTGAAAATATAAAAAGAAAAGGAGGACTTCTGGCACCTTAGAGACTAACAAATTTATTTGAGCATAAGCTTTCATGAGCATTCCGATGAAGTGAGCTGTAGCTCACGAAAGCTTATGCTCAAATAAATTTGTTAGTCTCTAAGGTGCCACAAGTCCTCCTTTTTCTTTTTGCGGATACAGACTAACACGGCTGCTACTCTGAAACCTGAAAATATAATATTTATCATAAGTATTTTAAAATAGATTATGATTACCTCAAAAAGATGGGGAAAAGAAGAATGTTGTCAACATGTTCAAACACTTCCCCCTCCCCCCCCCCCCGCCCCAAGTCATTCAGTGGGGTCAGAGTGGAACATACTTGTAACAAAGTCACAATGAAGTAGGTTGAAACTCCCAGCCAAATCCTTCACAGAACAATCTAGTTATTGCTAGAATTGTTTGCATATTTCAGTGAATTCAAATAAAATGATTTCCTTATAAGAGTTTTACAGTATATATGAATTATGTTAATTAATGAATGCGTGTCTTGGAAATGTTAGCCTGCATTTGTGGAACAAAAATAAAACCAAAATAAACACACCACTCAAACAGATACCCATGACTACTGTAGAAACCTTTATTCTATTTAAAATACATTCAGTGTCCATAGGGACAAGTAGAATACAGTAAACAGGAATACATATACTAATGTTTACATTTTTACTTTTGTTTTAGAGGGGAGATTTTGAAAAGCTGAAGCGTCTGTTGTATATTTGCCCTAAAGAGAGAAGCCAGCAAGATCTCAGGGAGGTAAGGAAAATAAAGCACTTTATTTGATAAATAATTAATCCAATGATACTAGGGCACAGTGATGATTTTCTTATGTCATTTTATTTTTGTAGATAACCATTTAACTTATGCAAACATAATTTAGAAAGAAAAAAACTGTACTAATACAGCATGCAAAATTAGTAATTGCGCTGAATGTTTAGACTGCTTCACCTGAAACTGATTACTACTCCCATCTGTTCAGACTTGAGTATTTGAAGACTATTCTGTCTGATCTCAGTTTCCAGATTTTGAGGGAACTCCACCCAACTATTTCTACTGTGGTGTTAAGGGATAGCAGATCACAGGCCTCCAATGTAGACACACTAACATTAGCAGTGTATGTGGGTGGCCCTGGAGAAACTTGACCTATATGGGTATACTTGATTATGCAAAAATTCTATACTATTAAGCTTATGAAGGTAAATTCAGATACTCGAATCCACTTCATACTTCAAAAGTAATAAAGTAGGTTGGGTGATTGGTATCAAATAAGGGGAGGGAAGAAAAAAGCAAAAAAAAGAACAAAAAATAAAGGGAGGAAAAAGAAAGGAGTGGAGGAGAAAGGAGAGCGACATCTCATTTTCCATCCGCTAGGAATCAAAGATTTCTAAAATGTCAGATCAAATCTTTTCAAGTCCACTTCTCCAAAAATTTATGCACGCTTTTGCTGCCAGGTCATCCAAGCCTCTGTGCCAGTCTTCTATCCCTAGAGGCAGTCTGTTCTTCAATCTGAGCTCTTTGGCTACAAGCACTGCTCTAGAGACCCAAGCTTTCTGTGAGTTTCAGAATTTCCAAGGTGATGGGATGGATCACAGCTCTGGGAAGTCATTTTTAAGGAAGTATCCATGATCATATTAATCCTCCTGCCTACTTCTAGCCAAAAGGACTGTATCCTGGGACAGTCCCAAAACATGTGAGCCAGGGTGGGTTCGGGAGCCCCCCGTCTCAAGCAGCACTCCATTTTGGTAAGGCCCAGGCACTCAAACCTATGTGAGGACCAGAATGAATGAAATAATGTTTTCTGCTGGATCAGCCTTAATCATGGATCAGTAGAAGAGGTTTCTAATTTTTTGCAAGGCACTTTTCCATGGGCTAGGGTTCAAATATGTATGCCAATCTTTGTTCCAGGCCTGGCACAGGCAATCTAAGTTAGGGAGTGTCTTTTGGACCAGGAAGTCATAACAGGCTACAGATGATTGGGTGAACCTCTGGAGCTCTCTCCATATCAACACCTATTCAGGAGTTTCTGATGCTCCCAGCGCATCAGGACCAAATATGTCCTTCAAGAGATGCTTAAGCGGCTGGTAATGCCAGGCAGCTACATCAGGTAGGTTGTATTGGTTCTGGAGTGCTTGGAATGGGAGAAACTGATCCACAATTAAGAGACCCAAGCTATCCCCTTATCCATCCACTCTCTCTGCATTAATATTTTCTTGATCATTTTCAGCACTGGATTGCCCCAAAGTATAGCATCAATGAATGAGAAGGGGTGGAATTTACATTTTTTAGCCATGTTTGTCTGTAGTCAATATTGTAGGGGACATTTTACAATCATAGAATCATAGAATATAAGGGTTGGAAGGGACCCCAGAAGGTCATCTAGTCCAACCCCCTGCTCAAAGCAGGACCAATTCCCAGTTAAATCATCCCAGCCAGGGCTTTGTCAAGCCTGACCTTAAAAACCTCTAAGGAAGGAGATTCTACCACCTCCCTAGGTAACGCATTCCAGTGTTTCACCACCCTCTTAGTGAAAAAGTTTTTCCTAATATCCAATCTAAACCTCCCCCACTGTAACTTGAGACCATTACTCCTCGTTCTGTCATCTGATACCATTGAGAACAGTCTAGAGCCATCCTCTTTGGAACCCCCTTTCAGGTAGCTGAAAACAGCTATCAAATCCCCCCTCATTCTTCTCTTCTGCAGGCTAAACAATCCCAGCTCCCTCAGCCTCTCCTCATAACTCATATGTTCCAGACCCCTAATCATTTTTGTTGCCCTTCGCTGGACTCTCTCCAATTTATCCACATCCTTCTTGAAGTGTGGGGCCCAAAACTGGACACAGTACTCCAGATGAGGCCTCACCAATGTCGAATAGAGGGGAACGATCACGTCCCTCGATCTGCTCGCTATGCCCCTACTTATACATCCCAAAATGCCATTGGCCTTCTTGGCAACAAGGGCACACTGCTGACTCATATCCAGCTTCTCGTCCACTGTCACCCCTAGGTCCTTTTCATCAAAATGTTAGTAGGCTGAACCTAAAATTCCTGCCAATGGAAGGTGATGGATCAACTCCTGTTCCACCAGCAGCCCAGGGAGTGATCTTTTCTGTTATGTTCTGGAGTGACAGGGCTGCCTGCCTGCAGATAAGTCCGTATGATAATGCTGCAAGTTGGAAAAGCCTCCCAATGTGATTGAGAGTTGCAGTTTAAACGAAGCCAGTCTTGTCCTCCCACCCACTGGAATAGAAACTGGGAGACCTTTTGGGATACACCATGTTCAGGGAAGGACACATTCATTTTGATAAAAAGAAAAGGAGTACTTGTGGCACCTTAGAGACTAACCAATTTATTTGAGCATGAGCTTTCGTGAGCTACAGCTCACTTCATCGGATGCATACCGTGGAAACTGCAGCAGACTTTATATATACACAGAGAATATGAAACAATACCTCCTCCCACCCCACTGTCCTGCTGGTAATAGCTTATCTAAAGTGATCATCAGGTGGGCCATCAGGAGCGTGAATTTGTGTGGGGGGGTGGAGGGTGAGAAAACCTGGATTTGTGCTGGAAATGGCCCACCTGATGATCACTTTAGATAAGCTATTACCAGCAGGACAGTGGGGTGGGAGGAGGTATTGTTTCATATTCATTTTGATGACATTAATTTTGCCCCAAAGGCTAAGAGCATGGGATCTCCATATGCCCCAATCTCTCACTACCTGAGCTAAAATGGACTCTAAATTAATTTTGACCAGATTCTCCATCTCATTGGGGATGATTTTCCCTAAATATTTAATCCGTTTGGGTTGCGCTTAATATTCCAATTATCATAGATTCCCCTATGAGCTTGTTTACTTATACCCAGAATTTCCAGTTTTTTCCAATTGTTTTTACATCCCTAGAGGTTTCCAAATGCATTAATTAGATTTAATAGGCTAGGAACAAAATCTTCAAGTTTAGATACAAGAACAAAAGCATCATCCGCATAAAGCATGATCTTGTGCTCCATTTGGCCTATCCTGATGCCATGTATATATTGACTTGTATAGTTAGCAGTAGCTAAAGGTTCTAGGGCTAGGTCAAACAGCAAAGGTGAAAGGGGAATGGTTTTAAAGTAATGCCCTGGGTGACAGCCCTGGAAGAGGGATTCATACGAAGAAGTTTAATGTAGGAGATAAATTTGGCAGTCAGTTTAGCAAGCATGTAAAAGTAATCCATGTGTAAAAGGTGTTCTCTGACATCATAGCAGCTAGAGGCTCCTTTGACTCATCAAAACTGCAGACTTCTTGGATGCAATCAGTTGACACAAATTGTCAGCTCATCTGTTTAACTTGTTGACTTATCTGTTAAAAATACTTAACACTTACCACACTAATGCAAACTCCAAAAAGCATCAGGCCTGCATTTTCAAACTAGGATGCCTAAAGCTAGGTGTCTAATAATATGGATTTAGATACCACACCATAGTTATCACTGTGTGAAAACACTGCCCATCAGATTTTACCAGATCTAATTAAAGTGCTGTGCTACATTGTTGGGGGAGTGAGGCAACTGCCCTGTGTGGTGTCCATTCCCTTTCACTCGTCCCCAAAGTGCTTCTTGCTCACTGGGACATGGAACCACATCAGTTCTGCTACAGGGGAACTCTTCACTGCCATGAATAAGGGGGTAGAATTTGCTCCTTAGGGAGTATTCCATATTCCTATTTATACTGATGTTGTGTGATCTTGCGAGTCACAGAACTATCCAGGGTAAATAAAGAACAAAGTGTGTTTCTCTTTACCCACATATCTCAATGAACAATAAAGAGAGAAGAGTATGACTTCATTATGAATAATTTTGAAATCTTGCAGTGGATCTTTACATATATACCAAATATATAGGGTAAAGTAATGAGTTAAAGATCTGTGAAAATTGTTTAGATACTATGGTGATGAATGTCCACATTAGACCAAATTCTTTTCTGAAAATGTAGTTGTTTAGACTTTGATCATACTTCAGAGACCAAGTATAGGATTATAGCTTTTTCTCCCCCCTTAGAAACTGGGTGGGGACAAGGGAAGGGTCATATTTTTATGCACTTTAAATTTTAATATCCCTAAGTAAATTGGGTAATCATCTCTCAAGTACTAATGGACAAAGAAACTTACATTTCATTTTGTTAACTATGACCTTTTAGAGGTCAGATTTTTGTTTAATTTTTCCAGTATAAAAAGCTTTTATGTAAACACAAGGATCATTCTAAAGCATCTGACCAATATTGACAAAAGTTGTTCCCCTTTTGAAAGACTGCATCATGTGAGTTGTGTGGAGGTGACTGAGAAGCTAGGAGTCCTTTCACATAACACAATTCAGATCTGAGTCATTGCCAGTCACTTGTTACCCATAGTATAATAAAAATAAATCATTTTTCTAAATTTGATAAATCTGCTAATGATTTAAACTCCATTAACTCATTGACCATGGATCTGTAGTGTCTTCCAGTTGATTGTGTGGAATTTTAGCAGTAGCTTGGCCTTAGGGATGCTTTAGAATGAGACTTGGCCTTAGGGATGGATTCAAGCTCCTGGATCCACCAAAATTTCCTCCTCCTCATTTTTTGAATCTTCTCAGACAGACCCTTTCATCCATCTGCCTACACTGACAGCTTGTCTGTCCCTCAGTTCTGCTTTCCCATGATGGCAACAACCCCACCAGGCTCTTCCTCCTACACAGGCAGCCCAGTCCTGTGCTGCCAAGTCCCATCCTGGACAGACT